CACCTCGCGACTGTCACTTGTGCCAGCCTCGCGCCACGCCACGTACCGCCGACATGGAGCCAGAAGAGTCGACGGGGCGCCAGCAAAGTGGGGAAAAATCGGCGAAACAACCACTCGTTTGGGTACTCAAGGTGTCCGTTTGGCAAAGTATCATCTGCATCGCCATCCTCATGAGCATTGACATCATCGCTAGCAGTAGCATTTTCACCATCCCAGTTATCCTCAGTGACATTTGCTTTTGCAATTGTTGCCGCCATCAGCATAAGCATTAAAGCAATAATTTGCAAAGTTATTTTCACCGCCGTTCTCATTACCATGCAACTTAGTTAAAGCATTATTATCAGCATTGACATCAGCATCAGCATTAGCATTTCAATTTCCAATTTCACTTTCATTTTCCCTTCATTCTAATTTACCTTTTAGTTCATTGTTTTCTTTATTATCAATATCCTGATTCTCGTTGGCATCAGCAACAATCTTAGCAGTTATGATATTAGTAGTAGTAGCAGCATTGGTATTGGCAATGGCTTTATAATCAACATTGGCATTATAATTGTCAATATAATTGTGATTGTAGTTGCAGTCTTCAATTTCATTTTCGCCATCGTTTTCGTTATCATCACAAACATCCCTATCATCATCAACATTATCATTAGCGTTACTATTATGATTATAATGGCAATTATGTTTATTCGCATATGCGTCAACAGTCTTTTTTCATTAACCCTACCCTTGCCATTGTCATTATCCTAACCGAAAGGTGATTTTGTACACTTTACTCGATTGGTCATACTTTCGCTGCCAAAGACGTGATCGTTTGTCATTTTTGAACAACAGTTTGGCAGCCTTACTTCCATTTCGAGTAGAAGTGTTTGGTGAAGAGTTTCGAAGGTCGCTTCCACCAGAAGACGACGACGAATTCCTCTTGACCAGCTGTCGATTGGCTGACGCTGTTTTCGAGGCAATCACTTTCGAGTCCGGTGGTCCCGTGCTCAGCTTTCGTCCGTCAGCACGGGTTCACCGGAATCGAAGGAGATTGCCTCGGAAACAGCGTCAACCAATCGACAGCTGGTCAAGAGGAATTCGTTGTCGTCTTCTGGTGGAAGCGACCTTCGAATCTCTTCACGCAACACTTCTACTCGAAGTGGAAGTAAGCCCAACAATTATGAAACAAGAGATTCCTCGAAACCCAACTTTTCTTCGTATATAGTTTGGCAGCCGCAACACAACCCGTTTCACTTTGCTATTCGTCTCACTGACCAAAGTGAACATGAGCTTAACGGTACCAATCAGCTTGTCAAGGGTGGCAACCGATTTGGCACAAGCAACACTGTCAAGGAGTCGGATTAGCCTCATCCTGTCAGATGTCTCGTCTCTAAAGGCTGTCTGCAAAGTCGCGTCTGTCGAGAAATCAGCGACTGAGTCCTGAGCCACTTTCGAGTATCGTTGATGTTGTTGTTGTTGTTGTTGGCATGGAGAAGAAGTGAAAGCGATGCTTATCGCTCGGCTTGCCTGCATTGCAATCGTCTTGCTTCGTCTCTTTCAGTAGCTGCGTTTGTGCGCGCTGCCAGTGCCGGTTCGTCGAGACGGACTTGGTGATTCGAGCCGGTGCCGGAGTCCTCTTCCACGTCGCCTGTTTCACATGCCTCGTCTGCACCCGACGTCTGTGCCAAGGCGACGCCTACCGCCTGACGGCCGATCGACGCTCCGTCCTCTGCCTGGCCCACCGGCCGCCCGACGAGGCCGGAGACTGGCCGCTCGAGGACCAGCGCTCGAGTCCCGGCGTGAAGCCGGAGCCGGCCGACGCAGCAGGCGGCACCGGCACGAGGCGCAGCGGCTGTCCGAGTCCC